AACCTCCCTCGCCCTGCTGCCCACACTCCTCCTAATGCACCCCAGGATCCCATTGGCCTTCTTGGCACCCAGGGCACGCTGCTGGCTCATGGTCACCCTGTCGCCCACCAGGACACCCAGGTCCCTCTCCACAGAGCTGCTCTCCAGCAGGTCTGCCCCAAGCCTGTACTGGTGCATGCTCCCCGAGACCTCGTGGCATTTGTCCCTTTGCGGGTTCAGGTCCCACCCGGTGGCCCCTGTCGCGGGGCAGGGCAGGAAGCCAGTCACTGCAGGACAAGCTTCTGCTTCCACTTCTGCTTCTCACTAGCAGCCCTGGGATGCTCGTGCCCCACAGAGCCCTCTTCTCGCTGCTGTTTTGGTGTAGAAGCAGCCACCACGGTACCCCCTGAGCAGCCCTGCCAGGCAGCAGGCCCCAGCGACCTGCAGAGAGGCTTTTGGTGTATGGAAAGAACTGGGGGGTTCCTGTGCGCGTTGTGTTTTATGACTGTGGGCAATGGGGGAAGTTGGCAGTGGGGGCTGAAAGCTCAAATGCAAAGATTAGTCTTGTTTCCAGCTGGTGCACCAGGCCTGGAGATGTTTATATGTCTTCTCATGACCCTAATTCTGCCTTGGTACCATTTTGCTGTGCTGGAGGAATGAGCGTGGCCAGGAGTGAAGAGCATCCCTGGCCTCTGGCAGGACTGGAGGAGCATGGGGTGCTGTAGGATGCTAAGCTCTGGATGACCGCACAGTGACCAAGATGAGGAGGTTGGTGGCAGCAAAAGGGAGCTGAACACCCAGGACCATCTGTGGTACCCAGGGTCATCTGTGGCACCCAGAATCATCAGTGGCACCCAGGACTTTCCATGGCATCAGAGAACATCCATAGCACACAGGACCATCCACGGCACCCAAGACAGGTCATGGCACTCATGGTCATCTGTGGCACCCAGGACAGTCCATGGCACCCAGGACCATCCGTGGCATTCAGGACCACCCATGGTACCCACGACAGTCCATGACACCCAAGACATGGCACCCAAGAACTTCCATGGCACCCAGGACCATTGGTGCCACCCAAGACCACCCATGGCACCAAAGGCAATCTATGTTGAACCCAGAGTAGTCCACAGCACCCAAGACACCCAAGACTGGCTGTGCCTAGTGGTTGCGTCTACTGGGGAGACCAGTGCATCCCTGGCCATCTAAACTGCTGTCTTGTGCCAGCTAACAGAGCTACCTTAGCCCTGCCAGCTCATGGGCCAGTGATAAAAGAAGATCTCAGATCTTCTTTGTTCTGGTACTGGGAAAGGTGGTCAGCCTCCAAAACCATCCTTTGTGATGTTTTCCAACAAGGCCTTCCCTTGTGCTGGAGGAGAAGACACATCTTCTTGCCCTTCCTTGCCCAGGGCTCCTGGTCCTTGGCCTGCCCTGGAGAGGACACCCCAGTGGTCCGAGCTGTGCTGGGACTCACAGTGCCCTTGGCTGGGGGATCAGCTCAACCCTCCCAGTTCCCCAATTCCCCAGGCATGGCATGGAGCCTTTTGCCTCTCTGCTGTCCTCAGCCAACCTGTCCCTGTCCCTGTCCCCATCCTGCATCCCCCATCTGCCCCCATGCTGGCCAGGCACTTGCCTTGCCAGGCTGTCCATGGGTCCATTTCCAGGAACCAGGCTGAGCTCCTGTCTCCTTTCTCCACTGTAATTGGAGTTACTGGTGCCAGGCACCCACTCACAGGCGGGCTGGGAAGGCGGGAATGTGCCCACAGCGACATTTTTGGGGCCAAACTGGTTGCAAAATAGAAACTGAGAGGCGGTAGGGCGATTCTGGGGCTGGCTGCTTGGTTTATTTTCTTCCGCTGCAGAAGAAAACCTCTGGGACGGGGCCAAACCTCATGAATCGAGGGCCAAACTATCAGCAGGACAAACCCATCCCTGCTTTGTCCTTCTCTGGGTGGCTGAGACCCTCTGTGTGCATGCTGGTGTTCCCTGGGGGGACCTGCCATCCCCACTGTGGCTGCAAGCTGGCAGTGGGATGCACATCACCATGGCATCTGGGCAAGGTCGAGAAGATTTGGGGGGCTTGGAAAACCCTCGTCTCGTCTGTTTTTTCCTCTTCTCTTCTCCTCTCCTCTCTTCTCCTCTTCTCCCCTCCTCTCCCCTCCTCTCCCCTCCTCTCCCCTCCTCTCCCCTCT